CAGCAGCCCAGCTCTGCAGAGGCATCTGTCTTTTCCCCCTTCTCTGTTTCTCCTGAAGCCATCTGGGATGGCTGAGCTCTGAGCACAAGTACTTCAAGTGACTACTATAATCTAATTTTCTAATCTCCCAGTTCTTTTTTTTCCCCCTATTTCTCTATGAGGCTTTTCTGTTTCCTTTCTGCAGGCTCTAGAGGGCTGTGGGATAAGGACTACTTTCTCCCCCACACACACACGCACACACATATATTTTTTTTTTGGCAATCATAAATGCAAGGATATTGTTTAATACAAGCTATAACTTGTATAAACAGATCCCTGACATTATATTCCTTGCTAACAAAAGCTTTTTCACATGTGAGAATTAAGTTTCAGAGTCTCTGTTCAAATGAGCTATATTTCAGTCAGCCTTGCAACAGCAAAGTCAGGCACTAGGGCAAACCACCAGGTCAGGGCAGAAACAGCTGATTAGACACTACCTCTGAACCAGCCCCAGCAATCATTAACTCCTCAGGTCCTTGCCTGCTGCACACAGCACAAAGAAACTGAACCCTATTTATCCCTATCTCAGGCCTTGGAGAAAAAAAGACAAAAATCTTTAATTCTCACATGTGAAAAAGCTTTTGTTCAAAGTAAAGCTTTTTGTTAGGAGCTCCTTCCTAAGGGACTCCACAAGTGGTGTTGGGACTTGCTGTTGTTGCCTTCTACCTTGAGAGATGCTACTAGCCTGCCTGCCCCTGGAAGGGAGAACGTGCCCAGTGTCAGCTGGAGAGCATGTCACATCTGAGGCTGAACGTCCACAGTAGGTTCTGCTGGGAAAGTAAACATCAAGGAAGGACCTGGGGCAGGGGCAGCTAATCTTTACAGAAAAGTCTGAGGTGTTTTTGTTTGTTTGTTTGTTTGTTTGTTTTTCTTCCAGAAACATATGATTACTTCAGTCTTATAAAGGACAGGTAGCTTAGTGATTGTCTTGAAGTGATTTTAACATAGGCTGCGTTTTGCCTGTAGCCAGTTGTAGGCTTGAGGACTTGCACATGTAATTCTCTGAACCTGCTGTACAGTAGAGTTACAGTTCTACTGTCTCTGCATCCTTGAGTGAAACTGCAAAATAAGTTACATATCAAAGAACAGTCTGGAGATACAAGCCAGTTTTAACTGTTAAACCATTATCCTTGTTAACAGATCAGTCGTTTGTAGAGCCTGGTGTATACACCACAACTTCTGACTTGAAGAAAACTGCACAGGTTAAGAAATGGCCAAAGTCGAGAGGTTTGCTTTTCACGTTCCAAGTTTGGAGGAGCTTGCTGGAGGTAAGTGATAAACTGTGTAACTTTCTGCACACATAAAATGTGCACTTCAACCTTGTCTTAAAGCTCTTGCCAAAACCTCTCTACAGCAACTACGCACAGAATGCTTCTGTTGCTAGCAGTGAAATGGAAAGAAAAATACTGTTTTATCTATGCTTTATCATGCCTTTAAAATTAACAAGCAAATATAAGCTCCCTAAACTCTAAATTATATTTAGATACACCATCAGGTTCACAAACCCTTTAAAACAGTGCAAAACATTGGTGCAAAACTTGCAGTAGTTTCACAGCAATAGACTGATGTTATTGACACAGATGGGATCATCAATCTTCCTGTCCCTCTTGTATTAATCTTTCTTTTTCAAGGCTACGTTCTGCACAGCTGACAAGATGCAGTGCAGCATAGCAGGCTGAGAGCTGCAGGTGGTCCCTCTTTCAATGGTTGAATTAGAACTGGGCTGTGGGATACTATTTATTTATTTTGTTTTTGTTTTTCTCCCCAGCACTTTTGCGGAATGTTCTCATGTACTATAGAACTCTTTTCCTTGCCCTAGTAGAAAGGTGCTATTCCTTCTGTCTCCTGCAGCAGATATACTATAGCTTTTCTTCTGAGAGATCCTAAAGTTCTGCTGCTCTCCCTAATCTGTGTTAGTTTGACATTTACATGATTTGAGAGCATATGGTCCTGGGAGGTGATTCTTGGTGCTTTTCTCACTCAGAATTCACTCTATAAGCAGTCCAGGGCTGCTTATAGACCTCTAAGTTCACTGCGATTACAGTGGAATAGGTTACAACAGTAGCATAATTTTCCTCTTTTTTTTATTTTTTTCCTTCCCCTCTCTCCTGAGGATCCCCTATAAGCTGAATGTTTTGCTGCGGTTAAACTCTTGGATATGATTTGAGGAATGCTGTTTTCTTGTCCTTCTCCACTTTCCTGAGGTACCAAGATGTATTTAGAAACCTGCCAAATACCCTTTGTTGATCTTTGTGGTCAATGGCTTGGTAATTCTGCTCCCCAGAGTGGGGTTGAAACTGTCAGGAAAGTCCTCTGAGGAAACAAGGAACATCACAAACTGGATTTTCTGCTGCTTACAGTTTACATTTTGGGCTGATCATCAGCACAGCTTCACTCTGTTCATTATCTGTCTTGTTCCACAACAGTGGCACTTTCCAGAAAATCCCCACATGAATGGAAACATGACAGTCAATATCCTGTGAGAGCAGAATTTCCAGACAGCAGAGACAGTTTGAAAATATAATTAAGAAATTGCAAGCAGTCAAGTAAATATATTTAAAGAAGTCACTGTAATTTCAACTGAAACTAACTTGGTTCTTTGCCATCCCATGAGCAACATGAGCATACTTGCTCTTGTGAAGTAAAACCATTGCTCAATGTCACTCACATTAACCCACGTTAACTCCACATTGCACTGCTCCTTGTAGCCCTAGGAGCAGTCACTTACTGTAGCTCAAGTAAAAGCTTGGAAATGTCTTAAGAGAATTAGGGTGATAGTTCACAAGTCTCTAAACAAGCCCTTGCTCTCCTCTGAGGTTCTGATTTAGAAAACAATTAAATACCATGGAAAGCATCATTTAAATCAAGTTGCTTATTTTTTAGAGTGTCTTCCCTGAAAAGGATACACATCTTGTTATTAGTAATTTGCCAGTCTTTAAGTATTCTGGGGTATTTAATAATGGTTAGTAATGCAAACAATTGTTTGTCATTATTCTTTATTGCAGTTTTGCAGAAAGGGCTTAAAGAAAACTTTGCTGATGCTCAAGTCTCTGTTGTAGACTGCCCTGATCTGACTCAGGAACCCTTCAGCTTTCCTGCTAAAGGTAACGTAGCATTCCTGTCTTCTGCTGGGACTTCTCCATTTCTTTATACTTGATTCTGTCTGGTTTTCATCTTTTAAAGATGCTGGAGGAGGACAGATTGTTTTTTTCAGAGAGCCAATAGGCATGAGATGAAAACTACATTTTATTCTTGTATTCACTTCCTAGTTGATGCATGAGCAAGGACAGGTCGTTCAAGTACTTGTCACTCTTTTTTCTTAAGCTATACTTGCAAGATTCCTGCAGGCTTCATTTACTGTACGCCTCATGATTTAGGATTAAGTTATCTTCTAGACTGATTTATTTTTATTTTTATTTTTTTTATATATCTGTGTCAATCACTTCTGGGACTTGGGGATTTCAGTTTCCCTTAAGGAGTTCGGTTTCTGCTGTGACTAAACTCCTGCCATTCATGTATGTCTGAAGTGAAACTCTTCTTCTGAGTGGGATTCATCATCTTTGAATTAGCTGTGTAAAAGACAGACATCTGGTCTGTGTAGTTCTTTGGTGTGTTAGACTGCATGTGCATTTAAGATGTTTAGAGAAAATATTTTGCCAAGCTGACTGGCTGTGTTCTTCCAGGAATCTGCGGGAAGCCTAGGATAGCAGATGTGGGAGGTGTTCCTTACCTTCTTCCTCTTGTACAAAAAGAAAAAGTGAGTTCTCTCATAGCTGTGGTGTTTTAATGTATTTGGCAAAGAAAAATGCAGTATCTTGTTGAATTGAAAAGCAAAAACAGAGTACCATACTATAATTTTCTACGTGCAAAAGAGACTTGCTTTCCAATGTTCTCTGAGATTTAGTCTGACCTGTGTTAAACAAAAAACACATCAGGTAATCTTGCAGATCTTATTTATTCTTTGCAAATATAATTTTCAACAAGAAGAATAGTTTAGTCTTTAGGTAAAATGGCATGGGTACGTACAGGCAGACTCCACCTGCCAAAAAAATAGATGGACATGGACCCAATCTGTTCATTTTGTCCCATTCTGCTGCATTGCACAGCAGAATAAAGACTAAAACATAGACCAATTCTCTATGTCTGGCTTGGGCTCTGTGTTCCAAATAATTATCCAAAATACTAATGAGGGTGTTGTGAATTAAATGATCTAGAAGTTACAGTGAACAGTGACAAGTCCAAAACAGAGTGCCACTCTAAAATGAAAGATTTGTGTTGCTTTTGCAGGTTTATGATCTAAACGTAGTTGCAAAAGACATAGAGCTGCCTGGAGCTTTCATTCTTGGAGCTGGAGCTGCTTCATCCAGGATTCTTGGAGTAAATGCCGAGGTCAGTTGACAGTTCTCAGTCAGTTAATTCATGGAAGTATCAAAATAGGAGAGCAGTATCTTATTGGGTATTTCCTTTTTACAACACAGTGATCACTTAACAAACACCTTTCCTGTCAAAAGCACATAAAACACATTAAAAGGAATTCAAATGAGGCTCATGCAAAGAGGTGCTCATGTCTGAGACAGTAAAGATTGTAACTTGTAATTCTCCAGAAAACAAGTGATAGCTTTGAATTCCAAACAAACATGATTTCTGATACGGAAATAGTTGACTGACAACAACCTGGCCAGAATTTTTAATGCCAAAATTTAGGAATGACTGTCAAATCACTGGGAAATGGCTTTAAAATGCTCCACATTTTTTGCCCTTTTGGACAGCTGTGTTTTAATTTTCTGAGCTTTAATGATACTCCAGTCCAGGTTACCTGCTGCATGAGACAGGAGGTGAAACTACTGCCTGTGGAGGTCTTGGCCAGGCATAGTCACTTCAAGCATGGGTCTCTGCTTGGAAGTTTAATTAAATTAATGAAGTTTAATGGAGTTAAATTAGGAAGTTTAATTAGATTAATGAGCAAGTGTTCTCTAGTTCTTATCTTAACAGCTCACCTCTTCAGAGAAGTTATGTCCACATTCATCTAATTCATGCTCTTTGTTCAGATATTTCACACTAAAGCTTAGTGCTGTCTGCAGAGTCAAGGAGTTGGGGGGAAAGGAGAGAGCTGGAGGCCCCACTAGAGAGTTATTCCACATCACAGATGAGGGGAGCTGCTCGCAGAAGCCCCTGTTCCTCTCAGAGTTGGCTTCTGAGGGAGCTCATAGGAGATGCTTTCCAGTTAGACATTTGTTAGGTACCTTCATTTAGAAATGATGAACCTGTGCCATAGCATGCAGTAGTGAAAAAAAATGTATGGAGAACAATGCAGTTGTGCTTAAGCTCACACAAGGAGGAGGTGCTAGAAATCTATGTCCTGTCTTTTTGCATGCTTTTTCCTTTTTCCTGTGAGCAAGCCTTAGACAGCAGGCTGGTTTACCCTAAAACTGCTCATGCAGAAGTTAATGGCTGTTCCTACTATTGGCTTCAATGAGACCTAATGAGATGTCACCCCAGTAGGCTCATCTCTGAAAACTCATCTAAAAAATTTCACTGTTTTTCTGCTGCAGAATCTGGCCATTTCCTTTTGATGGGTTTTGGGGAATGAGATCTGTCCATTCCAGATCTTTTTTCTTTTTTTAAGGTGTTCATCTTTGCAGAACATTAAATTTAAACTCTTTCATGAAGAGTAAAACTGATTTCTGGAGTTTTCTACTGTACTACAGTATCAATACTGCTAAAATAAATACATAAATAAAATATGTACAGACTTGATCTGTCTCCATGTGAGGAAGGGCTTACTTCCTGTGAGGGTGACAGAGCCCTGGAAGAGGTTGCCCAGAGAGGTTGTGGAGTCTCCTTCTCTGGAGATCTTCCAAACCCACCTGGATGCCACCCTGTGCCCCGTGCTCTGGGTGTCCCTGCTGGAGCAGGGGGTTTGGGGTAGATGATCTCTAGAGTTCCCTTCCAACCTCAACTATTCTGTGATTCTGTGATTCTGTGATCCTGAGAAAGAGAACTGTGTGATGAGCTGTTACTACCTGAGATCGCGGCCCAAAACTTAAGCTATATACATGAATTCCATTAATGTGACTTATTTTTACATCTTGTTTTTGTCAGTTTATCCCTATTGTTCAAGCTAAGAGTGAGAAGAAGCCTGCTGTGAATGGGAGCTACGTCGCCCAGATAAACCCTGCAGACAAAGGCTGCCTGCTCGAGAAGTACAGCACTAAATACAGCGACTGTGAGTTCGGGCTGCTGGCCAACCTCTACGCCAGCGAGGGCCAACCTGGCAAGGTGTGTACCTGGCTCTGAGGAAACTTTAAAGCAGAAATTCCATGAAAGAAATAATATTCCAACACAAAAAAAATGATGTTGGCAAATGAGGGGAAGAGTTTGTGTGAGCAGAGTGGCATTCGAATTTCTGAAGGGATTAGTAACAGTAGAGTATTTCTTTTTCATTGCAAATAATCTATTTAAATACGATCCAAAAGAGCAGTGACTTAACATTATTGTTGCCTAATGACTGACTTTGGAAAATCAGGCCTGTGCACTTGTTTAGGTTTTAGCAGAAGTGCTTTTCCCAGCAAGCTTGCCCAGTATGGTGTAGGTGGAGCAAACACAAATGGAATGCTGCATGGAAACCGAGGGATCTTCTCCATTTCCAAGAGTCTCCTTATGAAGCCAGCTGGCTGGGCAGGAAGGAGTTGTTTATACCATTTCTCACATGTGAACAAATGGCTTGCTGCCCAGCACCCTTCACAGGAAAAACTAGTGTTGAACAAAAAGTTGGGAAAGAAAGTTGGTCCCATATTGGAAGGATTTGAGTGTAGCAGTACATGTGTGGAAACTCATGCTTTGAGTTTGTAAAAGTAATTCTGGGTTATAAACTTGGGAAAATTTCACAGCAATTTATAAATGTGCTCAGCATCTGAAACAGACCTTTGCAGACTGTTGTTGCAGAAGACAGCAGTAGTGAATGACTTTTATTCTCCAGGTTATTGAAGTGAAAGCGAGTGAAAGAACTGGGGAGCTTAACTTTGTGTCGTGTCTGAGACAAATTTTAGAGAAACATTATGGAGAAAAACCAGTTGGGATGGGTGGTACCTTCATCATTCAAAAGGGGAAAGCAAAGATTCACATTATGGTAAGTTGCTCTTAATTCATGTCATATTCTCTGTCCTGTTGAACACAAATATAGACCAGGGTGTTACATCTTTGTGCACTGACTCTGTTATATACTTTTAAATTTGTGCATAAACTAAGATAAACAGTATATTAAAGAAAGCGATGTTACCAAACTACTGATGCTATGTTTCCTGGCTGTAATACTGTTCCATTCCAATAAACCCAAATTCAGAAACCGAGGTGATAATAAACTCTTGTTTAGGCTTGTACCAGGAAAAAAAATCCTTGCTTCAGGAATTCTCCCACTAAGTATCTGGGAAACATTTTGGTCACTTCCATTTCTGGCAGAAACACTGCAGAGCATGTGCAAGAGAAAAAGAAATGTGATGAAAGAAGGGAGGGGAAAAGTGAAAGAAAGTTGCTAGAGAAAAGGTATCGATATAAGTAACTTCTCACTTATAAAGCACTTGTTCTTGCTGTAGCCTCCTGAATTTTCTGCTTGTCCTCTGAACACTGATGAAGATGTGAATAACTGGCTCAAATTCTTTGAAATGAAGGCTCCACTGATTTGCCAGCCAGTAATAGTTTCCCGAGACCCGGTGAGTTTCTTTTCTTATTTCTGAGTGTAAAATGAATTGCAGTACAGCTGTTTGTCTCCCAAAGCAGCAGCACAGTTTGTGTTCAGTGCTGGCCATATCCGGAGGAATATCCAGAGGATGGAAGCTGGGTCAGGCACGTGTTCATGTAGTTCACTTCCCTAAAACTGCCTGTGCGGCTGTGGTGTGGAAATATGTGCAGTATCTATCTCATAACTGCTGATGCCCATTGAACCAAACCCTCATGAAAGCAAGCTCTTCCTTCACAAGCATTCATTCCAACAGCACACAGTCCAGGATAAAAGAATCTGCTTTGTGAAAACCACTAATATGTTCCTCAGGAGGAATATTTACTTAAAAGTAACCAAGAAACCACAGAGGTTAATGTCTGTATTACAAATAACACCATAAGTAATATGAACAACAAGTTAACTCCCAAGTTAAATGGGTCACAATGTACTTCAAGAATGTGTTCAGGATGTGAATTTGTTATGTCTTTGGTCTAAGGCTGAATTCTGTGCATCCTCCCCAAGTCTGTTGCTGGGTACTTGGGAAATGGTCACCTAGAGCTGCTCCCTTTGGAACTAGTGTTACTTGTGCAGTGAAGGCAGCCGGGTGATTCCCACGGAAAGCTCCAAAGCACATGGCTAAACCTGTGTTTGGAAAGGCCAAGTACTCTGTGGAAATATGTGGTATTAAAGTGGCCCTCTGGAAGGCCTGTCCTTAGTGCTGTTTCGAGGCGTTTCTGCGTGTCTGTGTCCGCAGGGCTTCGACCTGCGCGTGGAGCACACGCACTGCTTCAGCCACCACAGCGAGGGCGGCCACTACCACGAGGACACCACGCCGGAGAGCGTGCGCTACCTCGGCTACTTCGTGCCCGCCGAGCTGCTCTTCCGCATCGACAGGCCCAAGGAGACGCATATGGTCGGGAGGGACTAACCTGGGCCGTAAACGGTGATGTCACAGCGAAAGCCGAGCGATTTTGGATTTTAAGTAAAAATGCTGAATTTTGTAATGCTTTCAATTATGCAGCTCTACTTATTGTAATCAAGAACAATGCAAGAGCAATAAATTGCCAACTTTTTAGATCTTTGAGAGGGGGTGCTCAGAGTTTCCATGTAATGGTTATGTCTGGATTGCAACGGTGATTTAATTCCAGTATCAATAGGCCATATTGATCATATACCCACTTGCTGTTTGGTTGCCACGACTGATGCTCGAGACCCAAAGTGAGTTTAAGTTTCTTAGGGGAAAGAAAAGGGCCTTTTACAGCAACCCGCCCCAAGCAGCACCGGGAGCGCCGGGG